GAAATGTAAACAACTGGGAAAAGAATGTATGTTTTAGTTCCCATCCCCTGCCTGTTACAACCAAACATGATGTGTTTTTATTATTTCAGTCAATTGGGACAATTAAAAAAAATTAATCTTAAGGCCCATCTTTTGATGGCTTGCATTTTCTCCAGAAGAGGAAAAAAAAATCTGGAGAAAATCACAAAATACAAACACCTGCAAATAGAAATAGAATTACTTTGGGAAAAGACAGAAAGGACAAATACAGTACCAGTAGTAACTGCGCCTTGGATACAATCCCAAAACAACTGGAGCATCACTTGAATTCCATCGGCATTGACAAAAATCAGCACCAATCAATTGCAAAAGGCAGCTTTATGTGGAACAGCTTACATCCTGCAACACCACCTTTAGAACCATCAAATTATTTCAATATCCCAGGTTTGGAAAGGCCTCGAAAGGTGGATAAAAATGCTAAATCAAGCCTAAATAGGTGGTTGTGTGACTAACAATAAAAAAAGATATCAAAGGACCTGTAGTCATTATTCAACCATACTGTCTTTGCACCAGATATTTGCTTAACACAGTAACAATAGAGTGTAGAGGTTATGAAGGTCCTACCTTTATTGTAGCATCCTCTGAAGCAGAGACCATAACACTGAAAACTGGATGGAAAATTACTCTTGTGACTGGACTTCTGTGCCCACTTAATGCGTACTTTTCTGGAGGACGGGGAATCCATTCTTTAGGATCTCGCTTCTGACCAAGAGGCCCACCTGATGTAAATTCTTCTTTAGCTTCATTTAATTTGGATTCTAATTCCATAACCTAAGTGTCCAGAGAATCAAAAGAGAGGGAACTAGGAAAGGGTGCACTTAAAAAAATTAAAAAACCCTCAAACCCTATCCTTTTTCAACAGGTTTAGGAATGAGAAAATTTTGTTGTAAGATGGAAATTAACGAATGTCAGGCTTTATTTTTTTCTGATATTCTTTTTTTAAGCAGATGCTGCTTAAAAATCTCAGCACATTTTTCTTCATAGTTATATTCCAATTTAAGTTTCTACTTACTTTCTTTTGTAATCTTATAACTGATGTCCATTTCTTTTCCAAGAGCCCAGCATATTTCTTATCTAATTCTTCATTCTGGAAAAAAAAAGGAGATCAAAGTCATTAAACAAATCAAAGGTGTTTTTTTAGGAGCGTTTCCCCCATGCTTGGTTTTTCTTCTTCAACAAGAAAGGAAGAACAACTTCTGGCTTCATAAAAATGTGGAACTTAATAAAGTATCACTACAAATCTACTACTGCCGGTTGGAAACCCTGTAAAATAAAAGCGGTATGACTTGAGGTATCATCCTTGTTACAATGTTAAATGTCAGTCAATACCAAGTTTGCTGGGTTTTTGTGAATGATTTGTAACACTATCACCCACCAGGAGTTATGGGAATTCAGAAGTATATAACTTGAAAAGTCATCGTTAATACTATCATCATATGAACCTATATTGTGCTGATCTGTCATACAAATATAAGATCTACTTAACTCAGCCACTTTTCTTGCAGCAGGCAATCAGAAGCCTCTCTGAAAAACTCTAAATTCTAAACTCTAGATTCTTTTCCCAGATACCATTTCTCAGGGGTAGACTGCCTGAAACATTATCTAGATGAAAATCAACACATTTCATGCAAGCAAGTCTTAATCTGATCCACACTATAGAAAAATAAAACTGTCAACCAGTGTGCCTTAAGAATGCAGCTACTAAGAAGCTTCCATAGATAAACCTGACAAAAAGCAGGTTAGTTAAGATTATAGGCAGATTATATAAAATATGCCTAATCCATAGATACAAATGCTTACTTCAGTTGGGGTAAGCAAGCAGGAGGTGTTACGGTAGTTTAAAAGCACTAATTGTCTATTACCAATAAACTTTCTTGAATCTCAATCCATATTATCAGATGCATGGAGTATTTTCCTGAGAATTAGATGTGTAAGAGCGTTAGGGAGGGAGAGAAGGAAGAAAGCAATAAAAAGCAAGGTCAAATGAAAAATGAAATGTAGAAAGTACAGTCAGCAAAAATTACCCACAGATAATGGTCATTAACAGTGCCTGGGTGTGAAGCACAGTCTTGAATCAATGAGCTGATTAAAATATGCACTGCAGTAAGAAAACCTGGCCTCTTGTTTATTACTGGGGAACAGTATTGAAATCTCTCAATGTTTCTAACTCGGCTGTTTTGAGATGGAAATACTTATTTTTTTTATTCCTTTAAGAATAGTAGCTATTGCTTGATTTTTAAAATAATATTTTAAATTCATTCATTCATTCTTTGCCGAATTCACCCTCTTCTGGCTTCTATTTTATTCTCTCACGAGGAGAGAATGCCTCCCTCATGACTGAAATAACAAATATTTACCATATTCAGATTCTCCTTTTTTTACCTTTTGGGAAAAATATTTAATGAGATTGATGGATAAGGCGGCACTCGTCTCATCAAGCACTGTTTTCAATTATAGCAGCAACGAGGTTACAAGAGGACATTATCTGAATGAGATGTAGGGAAATGAAATTGGAGCCTCAAGTGAGTATTTTGGTAAGGAAAATGAAATTTGATGTTTTCACAGTCTGGGATTAACATGTATTTAAATTGCATGTAGTCTGAGAGTTGTCTAAAGATCTAGGATATTTCCAGATCACACTGGAAGGTGAATGTAATGTCTTAATATTAAAAAAGGTTAATTTATAAGGATGGCATTCTACATTGCTTAGGCTTTTTTAAAACCTAAAGTATTTTATTATAGAAAACCAATCAATGAAGTACCTTTATAGAACAATAAGTATCTTCTAAACAGTATATACAATGAGGCAAAAAAGTATTTAGCCAGCCACCAATTGTGCAAGTTCTCCCACATAAAAAGATGAGAGAGGCCTGTAATTGACATCATAGGTAGACCTCAACTATGAGACACAAAATGAAAAAAACAAATCCAGACAATCACATTATCTGATTTGGAAAGAATGTTTTTGCAAATTATGGCGGAAAATAAGTATTTGGTCACCTACAAACAAGCAAGATTTCTGGCTCTCACAGACCTGTAACTTCTTCTTTAAGAGGCTCCTCTGTCCTCCACTCATTACCTGTATTAATGGCACCTGTTTGAACTTGTTAACAGTATAAAAGACACCTGTCTACAACCTCAAACAGTCACACTCCAAACTCCACTATAGTGAAGACCAAAGAGCTGTCGAAGGACACCAGAAACAAAATTGTAGACCTGCACCAGGCTGGGAAGACTGAATCTGCAATAGGCAAGCAGCTTGATGTGAAGAAATCAACTGTGGGAGCAATAATTAGAAAACGGAAGACATACAAGACCACTGATAATCTCCCTCCATCTGGGGCTCCATGCAAGATCTCACCCCGTGGGGTCAAAATGATCACAAGAACGGTGAGCAAAAATCCCAGAACCACACGGGGAGACCTAGTGAATGACCTGCAGAAAACTGGGACCAAGGTAACAAAGGCTACCATCAGTAACACACTACGTCGCCAGGGACTCAGATCCTGCAGTGCCAGATGTGTCCCCCTGCTAAACCAGTACATGTCCGGGCCCGTCTGAAGTTTGCTAGAGAGCATTTAGATGATCCAGAAGAGGGTTGGGAGAATGTCATATGGTAAGATGAAACCAAAGTAGAACTG